GGGGGGGCCTCCTGAGGTCCCTTCCCCCTCTCACCTCAGAGGATTCTCTGCTTTGACTTGAAGGACTATCCAGCTAATGAAACCATTTATTTTCACTACTTTTGCCCAGTTTGTTGTGTTTTTAAAACTTAATAGATCAGCTAGGGGTGAGTGCACATCCTGAGCAAGCTGCATTCATTTTTGCTGTAGTGTAAAACTGAACAGCACAGCCCTCAGCTCCTCGCAGCGCAGTACAGCTGCCCGTTTCTTTGTACCCAGGGAACGATGCGTGTCGGGCTCTAGGCGATGTTGAGTGGGAGATGAGGGTTTCAGCCACGCTGCAAGGGTCAGGGTCTCCGACCGCAGAGGCTCCACGTGCCTAGGAAGAGGCCTCTTGCCTCCATCCCGGGCAGAGCACCCCTGCCAGGCTGCAAGGGCTGAGATGGAGGAAGAAAGGCTTGGGTGCAGCAGAAGTCAAGTCACCCCGAGAGAAGGCGGTGTAGATCCATCCCTGTAAGCAGTTCCAAGAGCAAAACAGCTGCCAAACCCTAGGCTGAAGGAGACCGCTTAGAGGTACAAGGACCCTGCTACCTGTTCAAATAAAAGCTGGATGGAAACCAGCTCTGGAGTTGTGACACATGTTCAAGCACTAAGCTTATAGCAGGTTGGTTCTTTTTACAGCTAGAGAGTCATTTTATCGGGTGATTGTTATTTTGCACATGCGGCCAGCCTAAATTTATTGTGAGATTAACCAGATAATTGTGAGATAATTACTTTGCACTTATGGTAGGTCTAAATTTATTGTGCAACTGCCCATTAAATCACATAATATATGCAAGGTGTAACAGGAGCTGAAGAGGTGCAGGACACGAAGAAGGGCTGGTGCTCTTCCTCTCCCATGTGCGTCACAGGAGGGACCACACGAGAGACAATCGTGCCCACTGCCTTGCTGCCCCTGGGGCCAGACCACGGCCCTAGCTGCACCTCAGGCCGCGGACAGCTTGCAAGCAGAGCAGGGGGAGCTCGGGGCACCGGGAAGCTGCTCCGGGGACAAGCGAGTTCACAAGCTCACGGCCCGCACAATACCTGCACCTTTGCCCTATTGCCGCATTCACCTCTACATGCTCCGGAGCTGGGGAGGGCTCTTTTTGGCCACACTGGAGCTTTTAGACCTCAGCTACTGCAGCTGTTCAGCAAAGGTCATGGGAACATTACTGCCAGGAGAGTTTCACTTTCCCTTCTTTTGTTAGGAAAGGGAGAGGTTTTCCTAGAAGCACCTCCTCCTTGCCCCAGAGGCAAGGGCTCCTTGAGGTCTGAATCCTGTGAACTGAGGGCTTGAAAGAAGGGAAGAAGATGTTTAAACCCGAGTCATCTCCACCAGTAGCCTGGCCCCAGTTTTCTCGCCCTTGGCGCCAGCGAGCCAGGACATTTTAACGTTAGCCATCCTTCCTTCTCCGCGCCACGAGGTGGCAGTGATGGAGCACGTTGCACAGCACCGGCCGGCGACTTGGACTTCATCCAGTCCTTGCTCACAAAATCCAGGTCTCTCTTGAAAGTGGTTTCCAAGGGTAGGAAACAAGCTCCGGCCCAGCACAGACCCCTAGTGCAGAGAGCCTGCAGTCCCCATCCAGGTCTCTGTCCGCATGCCCAGGTGGGGACGCAGCTGGAGCCCAGCCTCGAGTGCAAGCACGTGTGTGCCAGCCCCGCTGTACAAACCCTGCTGGGCTAGGCTGCCCCAGAGCCCCTTCACACCGAGTCAGTAACCTCTTCCCCCTCAAGACAGGCTTTCAGACCCTCTCCAAGCACGCTGCAAGGCAAGGAGGCGACGCGAGCCAGCTGACAGGCAGGAGAATTAGCAGGAGGCCAAACCAGAGGCCCAGTACCTCTGTGCCAAGGCAGGGATCTCCCACTGCAGTTACTCTACTTTTCCTCCCCTGACCTCTGGGCAGTGCCTGTCCTTCCCCGGCAAGCAGACGAAAGCCAGCTCCTGAGCCCAGCTTCTCCTTGCCAGAACAGAAGCCCTCAGACACACGCAGCAGCAAGGTTTCTTGGTCCAGCTCAGGTCTATTTATTAACATAAATAGTTAAGAACAAGTAAAATAGACTCCCGGCTCAAAGGCCCTGCAGCAAAGCAATCACGGGCAAGTAACACTGCTTCCTCGTCGTTCCCCTGCACGGCTCCTTGCCCCAGCAGCAGGACGGGGTCACTGCCCCTGGGCCCGCCGTCCTGCCTACACAGGAGGGACGGTCCCTGCCGGCCCAGGGCACCAGGGAGGATCCAGCTGCTGGTGCTGGGCTGACGACAGTTGCGGTCTTGGCCTCTACCAGGGACAAGACAGCAAGCGAGACAGGAGCCCTCTGCTCGGCACCGGATTCGGTCCGTCCCACTTCACCAGTCCCCTGCTGCTGCCCTGCCAGGCCCTCCCAGACCTCCACCGGCCCCAGGCAGCACAAAGCAAAAACATCAAGCTCATCCGCTCCTAGCGCAGGAAGGGCAGGAGCTCTCTCAACCGGCAAGGGAGAGGAGCATTGCCCCTACACTCTTACTACAGCCACGGCTGCTCAGGAGATGCAGCAGCACATCCCAGCAGCCTGGATCTGCACCAGCGCGTGCCTGGGGTGGGGGCGAGCACCCAGCCCAGCCCAGGGCAGGACCGAGGAGAAGCCAGTTAATCTAGTCTAGACAGAAGAGAGGTGCCCACAGCCCCAGGGGACAGAGAGCCCGATGCCCCGAGGCAGGTGCACTCGAGGGCACAGAACCGTCACCA